CCCCCCCCCCCGGGGCCCCATCCACTTCCCGACTCCAGTCATTCCCACAGGAATCCCCACTCCCACTCTTCCCAGCTCCGCTGCCCCACCTCCTGTTCCCAGCTCATGCTCCTCTGCAGTCCTCAATGTGCACAGAGCTGCAATCACAGTATTCCCAAGTGCATGGTCTGCTTCCCCACCTTATATATGCAAGATCTAATGTGATGATGTCCGTCAGGCTAACACACCTACAATTTCTGGCTGTTAAATACTGAGGGTCTTCCCCTATGATCTTTGATAATGTCTGCATTACTTTATATGGCTTCCCATCCCCGAGTTCTCAATTTATGACAAAGAGCAGGACTGCTGGGACAGAGTATGAATGGTTCTGCACCAAACAGTTCCACACCGTCCCCAGCTCCATGCTGGCTATAGAATTAAAGCTCTCCCAGTCTAATAGACACATCAGCAGTCCCTCCTGCAGACCACGAGCACACTGACTGCTGGAAGGCACCTACTCCCTCCTGAGGTAATGTCCTTGCCAGCTTAGTGCACAAACTCCAGACTTCATCACCCAATCAACAATCAAGCCACACACTTCTAATTCCAACACCTCCTGAACTAGTAAGGGACCGACGTGACAGCGACCTGCCTACATTTTATACCCTCGCCCGTTCACCCAGGGAGGGAGCGTCCCCAGAGTAAAGAGAGGACAGAGGCTGGGAAAGGTGAACCTCCAAAGCCAAGGCCATCTGGCTAGTAAGAGGTGGACTTGGGTTTCTGTCGCCCTAAAGGAAAGGAGGTACACATTGGCCAGCTCAAGCTCCCAGAAGCAGAGTGTACCGGGAACCACATGAGCAGAGGAACTGGAGCTCGGGACACGATAATGGCAGCAAGCAAGCAAGCTACAGGCGAGTGTGCTGAAGGTTTAAAACGGCTGCTTTCCTGGGCAGAGTGCAAAAGGGGACCCGCCAGCCAGGGCCCTGAGGAAAGTCCACTGGCTCCCATGGCAGGATCCTGGGTGGCCAGAGGATGTTTCCATCTTCTATGAATCAAGCACTTACAGAACACCAGTCTCTCAGCCTAAGTTTCATCTTTCCGAGGGCCCATGTGGACTCTCCATTTCATACCCTTCATTCCACTTCAGACTACAATCCTCACATTTCACACCCGTTCAGCAGCATTCCCCAGAAATCCATCACTAGGAAAGAGCGAAAATACTCCCTCTAGCCTGTTCACGATGTGGTCCCAGCGTCTGAAACAGCACCTGGCCCAATAAGCATCTGCTGAATGAGTAGACACCCTATTGCAAGAAAGGCCTTCCCACGTAATGACACGGCTCCAACTTAAATCCCACTGACACAATGGTCCACGTAATTTCCAGCTATGTGAAGGTGTGTGCTTTTTTAATCCTATTTTGGTGACACGATGGTAAAAAGAGTTACATTAAACCAAACACAACAGTCTCAAAAAAAGAAGCTAAATCAAGGATCAAAAGAGAAAAACAAATGAAAGCGTGAGTTTAAGCAATGGGGAAACAACAAGCGCAGCCTCACCATCTGAACAAAGCAGACACACAATAAACCACCTGCCAGCGACCCGGGTCTGAGTCCTGCCCTAGCATCTCCTGGCCATGCAACCTTGGTTTCACTATCCATAACTGAAGACAGAATTGCCTGTGGAGAGTGCCTCGTACAGGACCCACTCCAGGTTTCTCTACACTCTTGTAGCTGCAATGTGCTTACAGAGCATTGCATCTATTGCTTGATATGAAACCAACAAATCGAGCTACTTTTAACACTGCTCCCTTTACCTAAGGTAAAGAATGCAGAGTGGTGACATTATAAACAAGCTGGAGTTCAGTTAGTCAACACCGCCAATTATTTACTTTGGTTTAGCAATCCCTTCCTACTACAGTTAAAATAGGAAGTTACAGGGAACTGCCAAATTTTCAGGTTTGAGAAACATAACCATGCGCTTGTTTTAAGTATCGGTATGCTAAGTTTGACATCAATTTTATGAAACCACAGTCCCAAGCCTCATCAGGTTTTCTCACTTCTAAAAGGCAATCAATTTAAAACACAAAAGGGACACCAGAAAGAGAATATTCTAAAATTTCAGGAGAAGCAGGAGTGCGGGTTCCTTCCCAGGTTCCCTCTGGAGCATCCACCCTAACCGTGGACTGGCAGGCACGCACGCTGCCCTGGTTGCACATGCGCTGTGCTTTATTTCTCTAACTCAAAACCCTACCTACGGATTAACTTATTTTTGCTCCAAACCATAAAACTTTTCAGAGGGATTTTTAAAAAAAAATTTTATTACAAATTATCCAACATAATGTTAAATCCTTAATTTAAAACTGAAAACATCTAGTCTACAGCTAGTGCTATTGTATTATTTCAAACTGGGCCACTTCTGAGAAAGAAGGCATGAGCTGAGGAATATAACGATAACCTGTATGCCTTTATCATTCCTGAAGTCAAAGGACCTCAATGTCCTCCCATGAGATGACTGATGAAGAGGAACTGAAATAGAACCAATGCGTCTGTAAGACTAGAATTCCACCAGTCTATAATTCTTATTAAATTAAAGCAGCAGTAAGATAAACCCTGCAGCATAACTGCTGGATTCACGTAAGTGACCCTACCCCCTATCAGCCTAAGGAGGAGTCTCACCAGTCCCAGGGTCAAGGTCCAAACCTCCAGTACTACCACTCAGGTTGACTGAGGACCACATCAGAAGGGACAAAGGAGCCACCTATTCTAAAGGAATCAGTATACCCCTGCAGGCCATCCCACCATATCCACCAATACATGGCATCCTGGGACAGTCTCAATCTCGTTTATGTTCTCTCATCAGTAGATTCGCATCCAGCCTATCACCACACTCCTTAATATTAGGTGACTGTGTGAGAATCAATGTGCCAGAAGGTAAGTGAAAACAAATCTAAAGAACCAAGTAACTTACCTAAGTTCCCGAACTAATGGTAGAAACTCACTAAACAACATAACCTTCCCTTATACTTATAATCTCTTAGAAATTTTAAAAAAAGAGGTGCCCAAGTCCTAAACGCATACAGAAGTCTTGAAATTATGTTCAAACTGATTCCAATCCTAGGCAATAATATTCTAATTTAATATATATACGCTTCCTTCCTTTGGCCTTTGTAAAAAAATTTTAAAAAGCACATATTTGGCCCTGGCTGGTTCAGTGGTTAGAAGAGTTGCGGGTTCGATTCCCAGTCAAGCCCACATACCTGGGTTGTAGATTCAATCCCCAGCCCCAGTTGGGCCATGTTCAGAAGGCAACCGATTGATGTCTCTCACATTAATGTTTCTCTTTCTCTCCCCTCCCCTCCTCTCCCTCCCTCCTATTCTAAGAATCAATGAAAAAAATATCCTCAGGTGAGGGTTAATAAACGACAACAATAAAAAGCACATATTTGTTTACAGATGAACTAAGACTGGCAACTAATTAATTAATGCAGCGACGTATTATGTATGGGAGATCACTAGTTTTGTGTATGTTCAATACTACCACTTACCACGTTTTAAGCAAAGAATGGGGCCCAGCTGGCGTGGCTCAGGGGTTGGGCATCAACCTAAGAACCAGGGGGTCCAGGTTCGATTCCCAGTCAGGACACATGCCTGGGGTTGCAACTTGACCCCCAGTAGGGGGCAAATAAAATAGGAGGCAGCCCATCAGTGGCTCTCTCCCTCTCTAAAGACAGACACGACTGGGTAACCGGCTGTCTTCCCACTGAAGAACAGCTCTGTGAGGGCAGGGGCCTGTCTACTTGCTCAGCACAGCAATCCTGTGCCCAGCATGGGACCTGACAGGAGACAGTGGCCAAGCAAGGTCTGCTTCATTCATGCTTTCACCACTATTCAGTGGCGGTCTGCCCGTGTGTTACCTGGACACAGCAAGGCTTCAGGGACCCCAAAAACACCTTAGCTTCTCCCAAGCAGTTTCTGAAGACACAGAGGAAGCCATGCCTGCTAACAAGACTGAGCTGCCCCAGACAAGAGTGGATTGTCTTTTCAGAAGCTTGCAAGCCCTGTTTTCAGGAAGAAAGTAAAAAACAATTTTCTTTCCTTAACCAAACACTATTTTTACTCAGGGTACAGCGGGCCTTCCTGGCTATAGCTGCCATTTCCCCCTCTGCTCCCTGCAGTTCATTAGCATATGGCTGAGTAAGGCAAACACTGGAAAATCTTCCTTAGTCCAGTATTTAAAGACCATGTCACCCTGTCAGTAAGTCAGGCTGTCCCTCTCCACCCTATTTAAAATTGCAAACCCAAATCCCTATTCCTTCTCTCTACTTTTCTTCTCAAAAGCACCTACGCTGTCCAACTTGTCTGCCTCC